AAGTAATCAATAACTGACCTTATATCTAGCCTGAAAACCGAAATCCCACATGGCTCGGCTGTAAGGACCATCATTTAGCTTAAGAGTTACAATAGGGATTATAGGGTTGCCTTCCACGTTTCAGACTCCACAAGGGACCAATCCGTATTCCTTGCAAATCCATGCTGTGAATACATAAAAATTGCACGATTAAGATAAAACTAGAAGATATAAAAATAAATATAAGCATAAAAGTAGTTTAGTTGTTCCTTTTCTTTTCTTTTTTTGCCGGATGATTAATTGCAGGCAAAAACTAAAGATATAGAGTGGATAGAATTAGCGGTGAGCAAAACTTGACTCGACTCAAAAAACTTTTTTTTTGGACTCAAAAACGAGTTTTAATTTTATAAATTCAACTCAAAAAATTTCAAGTTCAAATCGAGTTGTAAAATACAACTCAAATAGTAACTTGAAATTTTAGTAGTTAGAGGATTGATTTTCTAGTTTGAGTCGAGTCCCTCGACTCTATATGATATGTGTATATCACATATGAAAAAAATATATATGTATTGTATATGGTTATAAAAAACCATTTAAATTGGAATCAAATAATATCATAATATTATAAATGTTTACAATTAAATTTAAATAGAAAATATAAAAATTTGACTCAATTACTCAAAAAATTTTAAGTCAACTTCGAGTTTGTCAACTCAAATAATTCAAAAATTTTCAACTCGGCTCGACTTGACTCAATCGAACGTTCACCCTTAGATTGAACCACTCCCATTTACTTCATGGCAGTATTTATACGAACCTTAAGATCCTAGTATCAATTCTCAACAAGGATATTAACCGGATCTCACTAATTTGCACTATGAGACAATGTTAAATGGCTCATGAGAAACAAAAGAAACTAAATATGAAATGCAGCAAAACCAATGAAAGCTACTAGAGGTAAATGGAAGCAAATAGTACATTTTGGAATTTTGAACAAAAATTAGAAGGTCATACCTGTTGCATTGGCCCAGGTCCAAACTGTGGGAAACAATGTGGAATACCTCCACTGTCAAAACAATTAATGACTATTTTATAAAATTTAAAGTTTAGTGAATAAAAAGACGGTTTCACAGCGTTAAGTTATGTGTAGAATAGTTTAGCCTCATGTGACTAATACGTTATGGATTCTGGTATCTGGATGGTCATCATCAAAAGCCTTATTAAAAGACGAACAATTTTATTTAATCTAGGAATACTATTGGATGCGAGGAAGATAGTTGGAATATAACATAACCTCCCCCAAGACAAAGCTGAAGACCGGAGATGCAAGAAACAGTCATAACTGCTTCAAAATCGAGCTAAAAACGCAAAATAAACAAGAAGCGACCGGTTCCAAAGGAGGAGAAAATGAGATTGCCGACATGTTTGGGGCAGAGGAAAGTCGTTAAGAAAGAAAATGGAGGGAATGACGGGAGAATCTCGGTCTTGATTTTAACTCAACTAAAACCAGTCTTGGGTTGCCGACATCTTTGGTGGAAGAATAGTCTTGGGAATATTGCCAAAACCCTACTTATAATCACTCTTCTTGCTAGTGGTTTCCAAGAATCTTGTCATCCCACATTATGAATTTATTGTTTAAATGATTGATCGAGTCTGAAGAATTAACCCATATAACATGGGGAACATATAGATCCTATATAATCACATATAATCCATTTGATATTTTTATCTTATTCTCTTCATTGATTCGATCGCTCGAGGATAAAAAATAAAGTTGATGCAAAGAACATATGCAGGATGCAAAGCTCAACCACATTGATTGGTTTATGTTTATTGATGTTGGAAGGACATTTTTTTTATACTGTACAACAAAAAAACTAACCATTTCTTATACAATATTTAATTCTATTCAAAGAACTCTATTGACAAAATTAATTATACTGCCAGGCAAACATTGCAGTATGCATCTTATAGTTTTTACATTCCAAAGACACATAAAGTAAAGCATATAAATATGCTTTGCAACCTATTAATGGGCCTCAAGATTGGAAGAAATATGGAATTGACTCTGTTCTTCCGCCGGTTGATAGATATATGCATGGAAGGCCTAAGAAAAATCGAAGGAAGCAAAAAGATGAACCAAAAAAAGTCAAGCCTGAACATATTAGTAGGATAAATCTTATTATGACTTGTAAAAAATGTGGTGGACAATGTCATAATAAAAGATCATGTACTGCAAACCAGGTATTTAGAGTTAATGTGTTGAGTTTGGTGTAAAACTTAAAGTTATGTTAGATTTCTAAAGTAGACTTTTTTTGTTGCAGGAGAGTAATATGGATGGGAATTCTTCGACAAGATCAACAAGTACGATCATATCAAACCCAACACACGTATCAAGGAAAAGAAATGAGAAGGAAAAGGCCCGTGTTACTTCTGATAGATCAATGAGGAAAAAAAGATATGAAAGGATAGGCCTTTACACAAATTTGAGGACTGAAGAACAAATATTATATGTAAGAACATATTAAATAAGTAACAGTCTTTTCTTTGACAACCTAAAAAATGTTTTAATTTTTTGATTTGTTATCAGTCTGGTACAAGTGCACGAAAGAAGAGGAGAAGAGTTGAAGACCCTAAGAAATGAATTGTCTGATCGACTGGGTCTTTTGGTTGTGCTGCTTTTTGTTAGGGTATATGTTTGGGTTGTGTTTTTTTTGTGTATGGCAAATATATGCCTAACTTGATATGAGATACCTTTTAGCATAAATATATGTATGTGAAATGTTAAACAAGCAAGAGTTTGCCCCTTAAGATTATCACATTACTTTTCCAGCATGTTCGATTAGGCCAATCCGATTTTGTTGGTTTCTTCAGTTTAAGCATATTAGTGTTCATTGTTCCCTAAGAACATTTTGGAAATAGGAAAAATGTGAAGGTAAGTTATACATATATATATATAATGAAAATAAAATTTTCAAATTAACTCGCCAAGAGAATAGAAAACACTAAACATAGTCATTTGTTCTCAATAAGTAGCAGTCAAACACTTAATATTAGACATACATAAACACTTAATTTTAGCAAAACACCTAAAGTGCTATTACAAATAAAATTACCACAAAGATACATATGACACACAATATTGAGCAAATACACATTGTCTTATAAAATTATTTTTCTTTCTTCATTGTTTTAAATTTTTCCTTCAAGCTCTTAATCTTTCCCTTTAATTCATTGTCATTGTCTTCACTTTGCAAACTTCCAATCTCTTTCACTTTGCTTTGAATACTTTCACTTTCACTCTCTTCCAACAACATACTATTCATTTGAGCAGTAGAAGTAAGGGAACAACTTCTAATATGTCTTCTAAGTCTTGCATTCTTTTTTGTTAAATTTCGCTCACTATCACGTAATTGTCATGGTAAGTAATTTGCTCGCTCTGGCATGCTACCATCATACCATTCAAAATACCTACAACCGTGCTACAATAAGGGGAAAAACATATTTGTTATCAATCGATATATGCAACAACACTTTATCGTACATGCATTATTTATCTCAAGCTAACTAATACAAGGTAATTATAAACATATTCTTACCGAAAAATTTGAGCAACCGTAATACCTTCTTCCGGGGTTTAAATCGCTCCATGAAATTTCCCTAGCTGCCAATGTAATGCAATAACACTTTTCTCGTTCACCATCGTACACAAAATCTCGTCGAAAAGAACTAACGATGGTTAGATATTTGAACCTGTCCATTACACAATTTCTACTACAACCCAAAACATACAAACAAGATTAATTATTAAATTAAATCAATTCACAAAACAATGTTCATTTCGAACTAAACCAAATAAAAACTAAATTTTTTGTGTAAAACAGAAACCCACATAATAAATCATTTTGAACAAAAGTATGCAACAATGTTCAAGAACTATGAACAACCCATTCATACAATCTACAAAACCCATACAAACCCAAAACATTTAACAAAACTTAATCGAAAACCCATTCAAAATTAAGGAAATAATGGATGATTCGATTCAAAAAAATCAACTCACCTTCGAAATATACGATTGTGTAATCGGTTTGAGGCTGCTGCTTGAAGGAAAATAAAGAATTTTATAGGAGAAATGATTTGAAATGTTGGGGTTTCTAAACCCTAAGGTTTAGGGGGAAATCAGTTTAAAGATGCATGTGAGATATTTGAAACATGTGTTTCATTTTGTTTAATTAAATTGAACATTTATTATGGGTTAAATAAGGTTTTGTTTTATTACATAACCGAGTAGCATGCTTGGTCTGGTGGCAATGGTCATCCCATGCCCCAAGTTTGAGTCCCCTTCCACGCAAGTAGTAACCTTTTATTCATTCTTTCCAATACACACCAATAGGAGAGTGACACGTGTTACTCTCTTATTGGTACAAAATTCTCATTGAAATTAATTTTTTAAACATAAAACGGCTGAATTGTCAATTCCACGACAGCACATATTAGTGACGTGGACACACCACGTCATCATTTGTGTCCACATGTGCTTGCTTAGTCAGTTGGAGTCGTTGACCGTCAATTGACTAACGATTTTCATCCAACAGGAGACTTTTGAATCAGAATTAAACGTTGTGGGGTCAAATGTTAAAAAAAATAATAAGGGAAAAATTGCATATACTGTCAAATGTTAAGGGTATTTGTTTGCATTATGCCTTTTTATGTATGGCTTCTGACCGAACTTATTTTGGAATTAGAGAAGAAAAATGGTGGAATAACAACGTTGATAGAAGCATGCAATAGAAGTTGTATTTTCAAAAAAAAAATAGCAGTTGAATTCCAGTCATATACCCTTATTAAGATGCTAATATGTATTCTTCTTGGAATATTTTATTTCACGTACTCATGTCCAATAATAACCACTTGATTTGCTTGCCAAAGGTGCAAATGTGTACAGATTCGAGGCAAAAACTTGTGAAGGGTTATTGACATATGAAACTGCCTAAGATTATGGAAAAGGGCACAAAGAAGAACAAAAACTCCAACTCTTAAAAGGCTATACAGTTTATACAATTTGAAAATGACGGCTGATACATCATACATATGATCAATCTAAGATTCTAAATCATGGAACTCAACGTTGGACTCAGACAAATCCATTAACCAACAACAATTAGTTACCGTATGATGATATCGTCACCACGTCCGAGTAATCAAACCCCTACCAGTCAAAGGGAAAGAATTTTACCGGGCAGAATATTTGTCGACCCCAATGTCAGTCAAGAGCGAATAAAGAAGGTTTCATTTCTTCTTTTTTTGTCGCAATGGATTTTGAGAATGTTGGAAGTTTCACTCCAAACAATGTTTTGTGAGACTTCTTGTTTTTGGCATAGTCGTTAGCATCTTCGGGTATGACATGGTCGGATTGAAGGCATTCTTGTTTCTTGTCGTCGTAGTTGGTAACTCGAAGGAGTCGTAGCAATTCCAATGCACTTGCTTTCCCCTTTTCACTCCCATTAACGGATACATAAAAAAGGGCAGCAAATATATCACTCTCATCCATTACTAAGCGACAATACTCGGCACATTGAGAGCACAACGAGAGGAGGATATCCAACACATGCTCTTGATCCTCATGACTGCTCGTCTCAAGTAGTATGATGAAAAAACCAAAGCATCCAGAAGTTTGAGCAATAGAAGCCCTAGCCTCTTCATTTCGACACAAATTTCTCAACACCACCATACAGTGCCTAGCGAGGGTGGTGTCTTGGAAGAACTGTACAAAATTTGGGATGCATTCCAAACGCACCAAATTGGAACAAACATCGGTGCTCGAGGACAGATTGCGCAAAATTTTAATGGCTTGTTCTCTGTGAACTGTAATCTTCGAGTCGAGAATATTTATAATGGAAACGATGGCAGCAGATGCAGCAATCTTAGATCTACAACTGCTTTGGCAAGATAATACTTCCATTATATCAAGAACCTCTTTAGTTACTTCAGAGTCGCGGAAAATTGACAACAGATTATACACATCTTCATTTAGGTATCTTATGCCACTCCTGCAAGAAACTCACAAACCAATGAAAAAAATAAGTCTCTACTCAAATAAAGGATAACAGACACTAACTAACCATGCTTAGATGATACATAAGCTATTACAGAACTTGAGAAAACATATAACCTGTATTGGTTAAGATATGTCGATAACAACTGAAATCCAGCTTTCGATGCTCTTATATCATGTAAATCATGACTACTGCTCAAAAATTTAATTAGAGGCTCAATGAAATTCTCGGATGAAAGAAAAAAACAAGCTAGATCGTTAGATTCCAAATGATTTTTCAAATCTTCAACAATCTTATATTGTGATTCCCAATCAAGCTCTGCAAGGCCGGATAGAGACTCCAAATCCATCTTACTTGCATTGTTGGAATATTGATATCCGCAAAAATAATCACTATTCTGCTCTGATGCCAAACCTAAGCCGTCTCCGTTCTTGTCACATGATCCATCTGAAGTATAACTAGAATCTAAAGATCTAAGTGATATATTGCTGATGTCTAATGGAAAGCGCAAATCATTTATATAACTGCCAAGACCAGCTATAGAAGTGGACAAGTGAAGCACATCAGGCTGCATGCTTGGGTCCTGAATGGTGATTCCATACTGCATGCACCATTTTGATATCATATCCTTCATGGTAGCATTTTGAGTAAGTGATAGATTCTCTAGTTTCATTCCTGTTTTTGGGCACATATCATTACCATCACTGAACCACTTCTGGATCCAAATCCTTTCAAATTGTCGTAACCGGTTTTCGTCCGGGCACGAATTTATTTGTTTGGCGGGAAAAGTGATGTGAATAAATGGTTTTGAAAATAATTTGGGAGTCGCCATCGGCCTTTTGGGTCAGGTAGGTCGAATACCTAAAAATTATTTTTTAAAAGAGTTTTAATAAAACACCAATTAAAAAAATAAATTGATCTGCGTTTATAACCAAAAATTCATTCTTTTTAATAATAAAAAGGGATTCGTGGTTGGTTACGTTTAGGGAAGGATTAGCACCCCTACAACGCCCAAAATTGGTACTTTTTAATTATAAATTGTCTCTATTATTAAAATTTTAAAAAGTCAAAAATATATTTAATTTATAATTCTATTATTTCAAAATTATAAAAAAAATATTTATTTATTTAAAAATATCAGAAAAGAACTTCTAGGTGTCTTAAGACAGCTCTTTTCTTTGATATTGATAAATATTAATTTAAATAATATTGTTTACTTTTTTATTTTAAAATATCAGAATAGGACATCCAGTTGTATTAAGACTGTCCTTTTCTTCGATATTAAAAATAAATATTTAAAAATTATTATTTATTATAAATTTATGAATATAAAAATATTTAACAATATAATAAAATAAAAATACAAATACTACTAAAACAATATATTTAAAAACAATAAAGTAAATGAAAACATATAAAATAACTGATTAAATTACAATAAAAATAAAATTAAAAATCTAATTCATAATTAATCAAAATTATAGGGATTAAATATGTTATTTCCTTATTTTATTTATTTGGTGACTAAAATAAAATTATCTAAAACTCGGATATTAGAATCAAATAAATTAAAAATATAAACTAGGGATTAAAATATTATTTATTAAAATTAAGGGATTAAATCTGTAATTTATCCTAAATATATTATTTTAATATGAAGGACTAAAATAAAAGAAATTCAAATTCGAAGACTGAATTAAAAATATTATAAATTTAATTTAGTGACTAAAATATAAAGTTTACAAGTTCGGAGGACTGCGGACGGGGTTTAACTATTTTATAATTACGCGCATAGTCCTTCCCGAAACGACGTCGTTCGGGAAGGACTATAAAAGTCCAAATCGGCTGGCCCTTCGGGCCAGCTATTTCATTTCCTTTTTTTTTTCTCTCTCAAGCAGAGAGAGAGCCAGAATTCTCTCTGGCCTCTCTCTAGATTCCCTCACCGGAGGGAATCCGGCAGCCGTCTGCCGTCGCGAATTCTACCGCCGACCACCGCCTCCGGTGGTCGGAAATTCCCCAAATTTACCTAAAACGTAGATCTAAACACCCTAAGACCGAATCCGACCTTTGTTTCCCCAAAAAGACTCCTAATCGGAGTAAATCTATGAAAATACCTTCGGTATTTTCGGTTCTCCGGCGATGTTTAGTGCTTCCGGCGATGGTCAAGGCTTCTTTGGTAAGCTTCTCTCCTCTCTTTTTCCTTCTGTTTTTGTTTTTGTTGTGTTGTTGTGGACTGGGATCGTTGGTAGTTTTTGTATCTCTCTCTGTTTCTGTTGTTTCTTTTTTTTTTTCCTTTTTTTCTGTCTCTGTGTCTCTCCTGTTTCTGTCTTCTTTTTTTTTTTCAGGTTCGGGTGGTGGCTTTTATAGCCACCACCGTTGTAGCCGTCGGACCGGTCCGAAGATGGGGTCTCGGTGAGTCACCGGACTACCAGTGGTGACTCACCGAGTAGCCATGGCGTGGACGACTGGTATTCTATCTTCTGGAGTCTTCGGTTGGGACGTGGCAGCGGCGGAGGCGGCGAGATAGCAACGGCGGCCGCGTGTCCCTAGGGTATCAGACCCTAGGGTTTCCATCTGGGGCAATCTGGACTGTTGGATCTTGCCAGATCCAACGGTTGTGAGCTGAGGCGGCTGGTTAAATTAGGGTTAGGAAACCCTAACTGGAAACCCAAATATTTAGGGTTTCTGGTTTGATCTGGACCGGTTCTGGTTGGTTTGTAACTGGGCCGGTCCAGTTGTAATTGGGCCTGTAATTATTATTTTTTTAATAATATTTATATATGTATTTAATATATTTAATAATAATAATAATAATAATGATAATAATAATAATAATGATAATAATAATAATAATAATAATAATAATAATAATAATAATAATAATAATGATATGGGTAAAAAATTAGTATCTTCAGCTGCCCCTCTTTGCTCATTCTTGTGTTAACAAGAATAGGGCAAAGATGAAAAGATAATAAAATTTTTTATCCATTTGGCTTCACTTGATCATAATGGAGATATTGAATAAATTCTTCTCTCTCTATAGATGAGTTCTTCTCATTATGAACTTTCTGCTGGGGATGATGCTGACCTCTTTCTTTCTGTGATAGAGTCATTAAAAAGGTTGAATAAGCTCTTGATGAGTTCTTCTCATTATGAACTTTCTCTAGAAAGGCTGATGTTAATCTATCTCCTTCTGTGATAGAATTATGCAAAAAGTTGAACAAGTTCTTCTTATTATGAACTTCTTCTTTCTTTTTCAGATGAGTTCTTCTCATTATGAACTTCTCCGGAAAAGATAATCCATCAATTGATGAATTCAGGTAAAAGGTTGAACAAATTCTTCTCATTATGAACTTCTTCTTCCTTCTTCAGATGAGTTCTTCTCATTATGAACTTTCTCTGGAAAAGCTGATCCATTAAATGATGGATTCATATAAAAGGTTGAACAAATTCTTCTCATTATGAACTTCTTCTTCCTTCTTCAGATGAGTTCTTCTCATTATGAACTCGAACTGGAAAAGATGATCCATCAATTGATTAATTTAGGTAAAAGGTTGAACAAATTCTTCTCATTATGAACTTCTTCTTCCTTCTTCAGATGAGTTCTTCTCATTATGAACTTTCTCTGGAAAAGCTGATCCATTAAATGATGGATTCAGGTAAAAGGTTGAACAAATTCTTCTCATTATGAACTTCTTCTTCCTTCTTCAGATCAGTTCTTCTCATTATGAACTTTCTCTGGAAAAGATGATCCATCAAATGATGGATTCAGACAAAAGGTTGAACAAATTCTTCTCATTATGAACTTCTTCTTCCTTCTTCAGATGAGTTCTTCTCATTATGAACTCGAACTGGAAAAGATGATCCACCAAATGATGGATTCAGGTAAAAGGTTGAACAAATTCTTCTCATTATGAACTTCTTATTCCTTCTTCAGATGAGTTCTTCTCATTATGAACTCGAACTGGAAAAATTTATCCATCAAGTGATGGATTTGAATCTTTGCTAAAATCTTTGAAATTCATGTTAAACATTCAACAAGAATGAATGAAAATGCATCTATTTTTGAAAATGCCTAAATATGATGCATGAATGTTAAATTGTTTGATTTCAGATTGGTGAATTGAATATTTCTTCAATTGTAAAAACCCAATAAATATTTCTTCTTCAAATCAAAGAATATATCATCTTTGACAAATGTAGATGTAGATATAATGTCACAAAAACCTCTTGAGAATAAAACTCAATAGTATAGGCTCTTGAAAAGCTTGCATTCAGGCAACATGTTGATTCTGATAACAACTCATCTGATTATGAAGTGACCTTTCAAGATGATTTCACAGATATCAATATTTCTTCTAATACCGAGAAATCTTGAATTCTGATTCTGATGAGGAGAATAAACTGTTATACTTGACAAAAATGGGATTCTCAAATGCTGAAGCTTCAATAGCCATGTAGAGACGTGGTCCAGATTCATCAATTGCAGAACTGATAAATTTTATATGTGCTGTGCAAATGACTAAGGCTGTTGATGCCCTTCTTCTGGTAAAAGATAGTAAGTCATTATGCAATGATCCCCATTACAAGAAAAAGTGAAATTTGGGCTATGATTTTTGAGAAAGGAATAAGCAAAAGAAGCTTGAAAAGAAACTTCTTAATGAAGATGATCATGCAGTTCATCTTTTAATTCCAACGATTGGTTCTGTCCAACCATATTAGATAACTCAAAGAACACTTCCAGAAGATGCTATTGAGCACATTCATCTTCTAAATTCAATGATTGGTTCTGTCCAACCAGATCAGATAACTCAAAGAACACTTCCAAAAGATGCTATTGAGCACATTCATCTTCTAAATTCAATGATTGGTTCTGTCCAACCAGATCAGATAACTCAAAGAACACTTCCAGAAGATGCTATTGAGCACATTCATCTTCTAAATTCAATGATTGGTTCTGTCTAACCAGATCAGATAACTCAAAGAACACTTCCAGAAGATGCTATTGAGCACATTCATCTTCTAAATTCAATGATTGGTTATGTCCCACCAGATCAGATAACTCAAAGAACACTTCCAGAAGATGCTATTGAGCACATTATATTTGTTCCAGTTAATGTTTGGACTAGGATATCATAATGCTCATTTGATGTAGAGCCAGAATTTGTAGATTCGAAGCATTTCCATCATACTACACTGAAAAGGACTATATTCATAATTCTGCCAATTAAGAACGGAGTTTTTCTTATTCTACTTCCTCCCTGTGCTGATGCTTTTCCATTGACAAAGAAATGGTGGCTTTCATGGGATCCAAGAATAAAGTTGAACTGTTTATAAACATGTACAGGAAGCGCCAAATTGACAAAAAGGATCTGTAAGGCTCTTGAAGCTTATGACCATGAGCCACCTTCGAGTGTCCAGAAGTATGTTCTTGATTAGTGCTAAAAATGGAATCTAGTATGGATTAGAAGGAATAAAGTTGTTCCACTTGAACCTGATGAAGTGGAAATGCTTCTAGTTTTCCCTAAAAACCATACATGAGGAGCTGCTAGAGACATGTTTCCCAGTGATATAAATGTCTTGTTTCTTTTTGCTGGAATCAGTGCTGCAAAGATCGCCTTCTACTGTCTTAGTATATCTTTGAAAACAGATGTGCAAGAACTGAATGGTGATCAGTTGGAGCAATTGATGAGTAGATTTGGCGGATTCGACCTTGTTGTCGGTAGCACCA